CCTGGCTGGATCAGCCGCTTTGCACACCCAGCTCTCTCTGCTGGGTCCTGGAAAGAGGCCTTGGGAACTTGGGTCCTCTCGGAAATCCACGGCATTGTGTGCTAAATCCGTACAAAACCCTTCATTTTCCAGCTCTGGTGAAGCCTCACCTTTAAAATGCTGTTCTGATTCCAGTTTGGAGCCTCGTGGAAGAGCTCTGCCAGTGGCTGCTGCTGTCACTTGGTTTTGTGACAGCATCCAGAATCTTTGGGATGCTGGCAGCAAGAGTTTGGTGGCTGGATAGATCAGGATTCGTGTTTTAACAGGGCCAAACTTGCAGATACACAGATTAACCAGGAGGAAAAACTTTCCAGGATAAGAAAAGCAAGACATGAAAAAAAAAAAAAAGAAAGAAAAAAGAAGAGAAAAATCCCCTGGGGGTTTATGGAGGCTCCCTCCATCTTTGGAGGTCTTAAAGTAGGGATTAGGGAGAGATCTGCCAGGAATGATCGTGCCTCGGGGCAGCCGGAGACCAGATGATGTGTCTGTCAGCTCCCTCCCTCCCTCTCTCCCTGCCTCCAAAATCCGGCTTCGTGCTCCTTCTGCTCCTCTCCTGGAGCACAGCATCTTCTCTTGTCAGCTCCATCGTGCTCTTCCAGCAGGGCTCCTAAAATTCCCCCCGAAAAGAGCTGAAATCCTGGGCAAGGGCTGGTTTTCGGCCAGGGGAGAGGGAGGGGAAGATGCTCAGGGGGATTTTGTGTCCCCTCCTGCCCCGGTGCTCCAGCAGCGGCTGCTCCCTGCTCGAATCCCGGGATGTCTGAGGGATGAGGTCATGTTCGCTCACCCACAGCCGTGCCTCTGCTCCCATCCCTCCCTTTGGAGAGCAGGGTGGGTTTGGAGCCCTCTGAGGCTCCGGGTCCCCGCAGGATGGGTTTGGGATGCTCCCCACACCAAACTTTGCCTTGCTCTGAGCATGGATGCGTTGCACCAGGATGGGGATAAGCGCCAGGTAAAATCCCTGCCCATCCTACCTGTGCCTAGCATGCTGAGCCATCCCTCCCAGTCCTTCTCCTTCCTTCTTCCAGCTGCTTTTAAAACCTCAAAACACTTTCCCTCCCCTGATCCTTCTTAATTCTTTTTTTTTTTTTTTTTTTGCCATTTTGACCACCTCTTGCCAGTAACCAGCCCGTGCCCAGGAGGTTCTTGTGCATTCCCAGTGCAGGGGCAGCTGCTCCAGAGCCTTCTGGATTAACAAACAGGAGGTTTGAATCTCTGGGAAGAAGAAATGTGATGAGCTAGAGCTGGAAATACAGCCCTGTCTTCTCACTCTGGTAGACCCCGAGCTCCTGGCTCCCAAACTCATGATGATATGGGTAGAAAAGCCACTTTAGGTAATTGGTGGAGATTATTACAATTTTATTAGCCCTAATGCCCTCCCCTCCAAGAGGTTTGCACGGCTGAGCAAAACAACCAGTGCCCATAAAGCCACAAAAATAGACCAAATTAAGTATTTGAGGGTTTTTTTTTTGTTGTTTTTTTCTCCTTGTAAGAAGTTCTTCCAGCCTTTTGTGAAAGTTTTTTTCCAGCTCTCAAAATCAAAATTAACTGTATTTGGGGGCCAACAGCTGCATCTGCTGCTGGTGGAGGGGGTTTGGAACATGTCACCTGGCCTCTGGATTCCACTGGTACCCAGTGGGATGGGCAGGATGGCCAGAAATTGGCACTGCCAGATGAAAATCAGGCTTTGGGAATACTGGCTGGAGCCTCCTGCAGGAAAAGGAGCCTGATTTGGGGTTTTAAAAACAGCAGCTGCTGTCAGCTTTCTTCTCTGGAAGCTGGAAAGAAAACCTGCTCCTTCCTCCCCAGGCCTAGAGGTCGCCTAATAAATGGGAAAGTCCTCAAACCCATGTCACTGGTAAATCTCCAGGCTGCAGAGGGAAGCCTTGAATCGTAAAGAATTCCAGAGTTATCCATGGAGGAAATGGATGCACGAGATAAAATAGCACCCCAGGAGGGGAAAAACAGGAAAAGGAGCCATTTGGACTCCAAAACAGAAAGGAAAAGGTTAAGCCTAAAGTCAAGGAGAAGGGTGGGACAGAGTTAAAGGCTGGGAAAGGCAAAGCCAGGAGACAAAGAGGAGAATAGAGGGGAAGGACAGGAGGGGAAGGACGAGGGGAAGTCGCCTTGCTGCTTCTCTTTCCCTCCTCAACGACAAGAACCGAGAAGAAAAAGGCTGGAATGAACAAATTCTTCCAACATAAACGATGGTGTATTGATAGAGATAACACCAAAACCCCCACAAATATTATTATTATATTAATATTTCAGGCAGATAAGGCCAACAGGTAGGGCTGGTGTCACTGAGTGGGTGACAAATGAGCATCTTGTCATCTGGGACCCTGAGAGATCCCCTTGGAAGCTGTCTTTTCACCACCTCCAGCATGTCATAGGTACCCAAACACAATTAATTATTACCTTTAGAAGGTAATAAGTGAGGCAAGTTGATCATTGCCATTGTCATTCAGCCAAATTTATGCTGCCAAAGCCTGAGATTTGCTAACATCAGGGGAGGCATAAAGGTCTAGAGGGACTGGATGAATTCACAGATCTTGTGGATGATGAAAACAGTTTTTGCCTCTGAAAAACAGTAATTAATGTTTTCCAGAGCTGTCCTCCACAAGTAAAGTACTCCCTTTATTACATGTCTCATCATAAATCTATTCAGTCAAAGTAAGGGCTCGTTCCAGCTTTGATGCTCCAGTGGTGATCTTCCAAAATCATCCAAAATGCTCGGAGCACAAATTCATTTTCTATCTCTTCTGCAAAGAATCTCTTGCAGATCATTTCTCCTCTTTAATTATAGATTGCACAAAGCAACAGAAGCATGAAAAGACTTAAACTGGGAATAAAAATCCCCTTTTCCTCCAGCTTGAAATTCTCTACTTGAAGTAAGTGTATTCCTCTCTCCTTTTGGTGGCATCCTTTTGGTGCCTTTACCTACAGGGAATTTTGGACTGGATTTTGATCACGGCAGCCTCAGCTTCTCCTGTTTTCCCCAAAACCCAACCCAGTCACCCAGCTGGAAGGTGAGGCTCTCCACCCTCCCCTGGAGGGATGCTCTGGCAGCATTCCTCCTGGATAACACCACAGCAGAGTGGCACCTCACCAGAAATGGCTGCAGCAAGACCCTCTCCAAGGGGTTCCTGGTCTCCACCTCTGGATCCTCCTCCTGGCACCCAGCAGCCTCACCATCCTCCCACACCTGCGGTGGAGGTAAGCAGGGCATTTTCCCAAATGGTGATCATTTCCTACCATTCTGGGCATTGCTGTGCCGATGGCTTGGGAACAAAGCTCCAGCTGAGATCCTACCAAAGAAATCCCAAACCAGAATCCTAATTACTGGAGGGAAGCTTGCAGGCTGGAACTTTTATATTCCCCCTGCTTGCCTTTTCCACTGTGCTCTGGCCTCTGTGGCAGCTTGGATGACAAGTGCCTCAAGGCAGGAATTCCCTCTTGGGAAAGGTTTTGGGTTGCTCAGCATAACCTGGGCCCCGTGGCAGTAAAATCCCAGCACAACCAGCACAACTGGTGTTACTGGTGTGGCAGCACAGCCCCCCACCCTGGAGCTGGCCTTGCAGTCCTGCCCAGAAGAAAAAAAAATAGCCACACACAGCACATGGAAAACAGGGCCAGGGGGTTTGTTCCTCTGTGCTGATGGATGCCCCATCCCTGGAAGTGTCCAGGGTGAGGCTGGATGAGGCTTGGAGCAACCTGGGATAGAGGAAGGAGTTCCTGCCCATGGCAAAGGGGTGGAGCGAGATGATCTTGAAAGCCACTTCCAACCCAAACCCATTCCATCATTCTAGGATGCTGGAAGCCCTCTTAACACTGTGCTGGATTTGTTGAGTGTTGTTGAGTGTTTTTAGGGGAGTTCTGGATTTATTTGCCCCTTGTCAGGGTGGTGAGGAGGAGGAGGAGCCTGAGGAAGCACAGCTCGTATTGAAGTGTGGGGTCCCAGCTCCGGAGCTGTGGCGATGCCCTTTGGAAAAGCCAAGGCGTGTGGGTTTTCCTTGGAGAACCAGCAAGACAGCATCCAGGAACAAGGCCAGAGCCTCCTTCTGTCTGTTTCCCCCTAAAAACGGGAGGAGAGGGAAGAAAGAAAAAAAATTAAACGGGATGGTTTGGGTGGGAAGGGACCTTAAAACTCATTTTATTTCGATCTCCGGCTGTGGCCAGGGACATCTTCCACTATCGCAGGTTGCTCCAAACCCCATCCAACCTGGCCTTGAGCACTGCCAGGGATCCGGGGGCATCTTCAATTTCTCTGTTAGGGATGTTTCCACATCTGGAAAACATCCCAGATGCTTCCAAACAGGATGTTTACCTCCAGCTCACGCGGCGCTCCGAGCTGGGAGACGATTTGGCTCTCCCTGTGGAGCATCTCCGCAGCGAGGGGCCGGGAGCTGGGATTTGGGGAGAGGGGCAGAGCTGGGGGGGGCTCCCCGGCTCCGGGCGCGTCTCGCCTTTGTTCGGGCAGCGCTGGAGCCGGGCGGCCGCGGGGCGGGGAGGGATGGAGAGGCGGGATGGTGGGAGGGAGGAAAGGAAGGAGGGAGGGCTGCCCGAAATGGCTTTTTTTTTTTTTTTTTTTTTTATTTTTTTTTTTTTTTTTTTTTAAACCTCCAAGAAAAGAACGATCCACAGGCAACGCGAGAACTTTATTTTTTCCCTTCGCCGCCCCCCCTCCCCCACATCCCCCCCCCCAGCGCCTTTAATAAGAAAACTATGTTAAAAAAAAATAATAATAAAAATAAAAAATTCAAAGAAATTTAATTAAAACGAGCCCGTCCTCCCACCCCCTGGCCCAGACCCGGCCCCCGGCCCGCCCCACGCCGCCGGGGAGGCGGCAGAAGCGGCGGCGGCGGCGGCGGGGGGGCCGGCG